CCAAAAAGAAGCATAAAACTTACTGACAATTGGAAAAAAAAAAATAAATAAATTCGAAATGTCCAGATTTCCCGCCGCAACGTCGCATCCGGTTGACGTTTCGCCGGCTAATTAAAAACAAAAACTCAACAACAACAATGAACGCATGACTCTTACTTTGTTCTGTTTTTTTTTGTTTGCTTGCTGCTGTTGGTGTTGCGGCTGCTGCTGCTGTTGCTTCGGCTTGTCGCCTTTGTTCTTCGCGTTAGTCTTGCTCGTCGTCGTGCTTTTCTGCGTCTTCTTCGGCTTGAAGTCATCGTCCTCAATGCTAAGGACGGCGAATCGCGATGGCACGGCGGTCGCCATTTTTTCGTCTGACAACGAACGAAAGCGCACGTCAAAAGTTGACAGCGACGTCGAATCGGCAGCACTTTCAATGTCAGGCCAGAGATGCTTGGCGAGAAAATTGGCGAATCTCAGATCTCAGCGTCAAAGACAACCTCGTCTCGTCAACTGTCGGTGTTGCTACGCGTAATAAAACCGGCAGGGCGACCGGAAAACAGAACGCGCGCCGAGAAAAATTGGCGCTGTTGAACGTCGACCGTCGACGACGTATCACCGGAAGCGAATCGCGACGTCAGCGCCACATTGCGGCGATCAGCGGCGTCACGCCGCCCGGCGACACAGGCCGGCTAACTGCACCGCGATAAAAAATATTTCCGCGCGATTTCGCGCCATTGCAAAATATATATATACCAACTATGACCTACGACTATAGCTGCGTTCCGATATTCACTGCAAGACTGAAAATCTATAATTTATGTCACGTACACTATAGATTCTCAGTACTGGCAAGTGAATGTCGAAACGCAGCCTATATAAATATAAATTGACAAATATCGATGTTTTTATTGCAAAAAAAAATATTTCCTTTCTTTTATACGTGTTTACATATATATGGCATTATATTATGTCATAGAAAATAACTGATATCATGATATGTGTGTGAATTGGATAGTAATAAATATAAATTCGCACACCACACATAAAAATTCATGATTTTTTTTCCGGGAATCTATAATATACATATATAATGATTTCTAGATTCAATAATCTTAAAAGTGACGAATAAACCTGCGCCTTATTTATTAAATAAATAAAAATTAGTTATATAGCATTTTGCGTGTCATCGATTCATGTTTTCAGGTGCATCAAAATGTGAACTTTATAAAACGAGCGCAGTTGTCTCATGTATTTAACAAATGCGCTCACCTCGCTGTCTCTAATTTAGGATGAAAATTAAACATCTTTCTCCTTATCGAATGTTTACTTCTTCGTCACAGAAACTTTTATGTCAGCTTCATTTTATTGCCGCACTCCATCAACGCGTGCATAAGAAACGCAACCTTCTGTTCATGCATATCTTACACTTTCCGTAATAAAAATGACGTATTAATAACTTTATAAAGAGAGGAAAGAAAAATATTATAGAAAAGTGCGGAATTTTTAGAAACACAGGTCCATTATTATCATTATGTGTATATATATCAAATGTTAACCATATATTATATGAATCCGCGCGGTACTTTCTTGCATCTATACAAAATGAAAGCTCGATGTTAAGTATTTTCACATACCTCGCTTTAATCGCTCGCAAATTAATCGGCAACTCTCGATTTATATCAAATTTTTCCGAGAAGACGCATCATCGTGTCACAAGTACTTATCCAATGAGCAAACAATATTTTTGAAAATGTTCTTAAAAATTTTTGAAAAATATTTTTGTAAATGTTAAAATAATGGGTTAAGTTCTCTTTTAATCATTAAAAAAAATGTTTATATTTTAACATTTGCTATTTCAAACGAATATTTCATGCATGTAGAATAAATAATTAATAAACATTAAATAAATATTATTTTTACAATCAATTGTACAACGTACAATTAATGAAGAATAAATATTAAAAATATATTTAAAAAATATTGTCTGCTCATTGGGTACCGAAGGAGAAAAGGATGTGAAGTCAAACTCGAAATCGAAACTCGAAACGCGCGCGCACGTGATTTGCGCGCAGTTGGCAAGTCTGCAACAATAACGTTCGAGACAGAGAAGGAGGTATTCGGTCTACACTTGTACACATTCAGGCATTCAGACGTCGCATCTATCCACCGTGCGAGGCCCCGTTGCAAGTCGGGTAACCGAGCATGTACTACGTATGTCGTGTTGCGCGAGCGACGTAGCGCGCCTTCTAAACGTCGTTTTCGTCAAATTCGGCCTAGCCCGGTACAGCCCAGGCCTGTTTCTCTCTTTACGGTTGCATGCGCGCGGAATCGCGCGTCGAGGCGTTTCTGGCGGCCTCCTGGTGCTGCGTCGTACCGAGGAGGACGGGAGCCCGAACAAGGTGCCGCGAGAACGAACGAGTGAGAACGAGGGAGAGGGGGATAAAGCGGAGAGATAAGGACGGAAAGAAAGAGAGAGAGAGCGCGCGCGCGCGCGCGCGCCTTCCACCGTTGCGTTCCTGGGACGACGCTCGCGTTAATTTTCGACGCACTGTGTGTACATACGCGTGAACGTGTCTGTATATATATTCTCGCGTTGATTCGGCGGGAACGGATCTAAACGAATTGCGGACGATCAAGAATCAAGAATCGCACATCGAAGCGGACCGCTCGTCACGCGACTCACGGGCTAAGATGCCCGACGTAGCTGCTGCCGCATGTAGCAACGTCAGCATCGAGGCAGCTAGAGCACGCAGCACGCAGCCAAGTGCATTCCTCCAGTTTTCCGCGAGCACGCTGTGAGATCTACTCCTAAGGCTTAGCTCTGTACATGGTCAAGGAGTATGCTGAGTATTCCAGAGGAAGATTTGTTTGAGAGACAATTGCAGTGTGTTTTGCAGATGCGAGGGAACGTTTCGAGGGATGTACAGTAACAGTTCTGGTGATTGTAAGTGTATTTTCAGATTGTACATTGATTGACGATCTATGGAGAAAATCTACGAGTGCATAATGTGCTTGATGATTCTTATATCTAGAAACTGACTGCGAAAAAATAGAGAAATAACTGTGAAAACATAAAAGAATATAACGTTAAAGTGCAATTTGTATATCTTATCGAATACTGTAAATCTGCATTTATTTGCATATACATATTCGTATGTAGTTATAAAGACGTTTTGTTTTTTCTGAATAAGTTATAATTCAATCATATATTAAGATCACAATGTAATACTTAGGAACTTTTTTTGTCATATAGCATATTGATCCTGGGTGATATTGCTGATATTCCTGTAAGAATAGATTTATAAGAGATTGTTTGGTATTTACCAATGTTGATTTTATGAGAGAACTCGATCAAATATTACGCTAAGATGTGTGAGCAAACGGAAATCAATTATCTCGATGGGGATGTTGTTTGGGTTAAACTGGGGGCATGCTGGTGGCCTGGTCAAGTAACTGGATTGAATAATTTGCCAGAAGATATACAAACTGAATTTCGAAAGAAGCCATTAATTGCTGCTGTGAAATTTTTTCAAGAAGATACCTAGTAAGTTGCAGAAATCTCAACTTTAGTGCATAATTAAATAAATTATTTAAAGCAGCTACTCTTAAATAATTAATTTTTTTTAGTGAATTTGTCAAGAACTATCAACAGATCTACAAGTATAATTGTACACTTAAAGATGAATTTATTAAAAAGGGCTTGGGTAAGTATCATAACATTTTTTCTTTTAGAGATATTATAATTAATATCTAATATATCAATTTAATTTTTTAAGTAGATTGTCTTTCTCACCAGTTTCTTCATCAATTATTCAATTTTATTTAATAGATAAATACAGGAGCAAAAGTAAGGACGGTGCCAGTTATATGGACAAGTTTCCAGGCGACGTAGAGACAGCGGAAAAATTAACGGGAGGAGATCCCGACATATTGAGCCAAGGGAAATTCTGTCCAGAAGAGAAGCCGGATATTTCTGCTTTGTTCGGCGAGAAGAAGATTCCGAAAAAGAAGCGCGATCGCGAAGATGGATATAGGCGAAGCGATGGTGTGGACATGAGAAAGATTACACATCCGCGCTTTTTGCGCGGAGAGAGCGAGCACGAAGTTCGTATTCGTCAACAGCCCAGCAGCTTACCATCAACTCCGACTAATACAGGTTCCCCAGTGTATCGTTGCCATTTCTGTACTTTTACTTCCTCGCGCATTAATGTGATCATATGTCACATAAAATGTCATCGATCCGGCGACCCGTCGACGCCACGATCGAGGGTGAAAACATATTCTCAGTCGCGCAGTGGAAGTTCTGATACGAGTACACCGAAACGAAAATATGTAAAGAAAGATAAAAGTCAATTGAGCAGAAAGAAGAGTGAGAGTGGCTTGGAATCAGGTAAACGAAGGCATTCTAAACAGAATGAGAAATCCAGTAAGAAAAAGAAGACGGATCCAGAATTGCGTGAAAAACTGTTAGCTGATTGGGAGGATGAATCGGACGAAGAAACAATTATTAATGTAAATAATTCTCTGAATAGTAGTTCGTCTGTGAAGGATCAATCAGGTATTGATGATAAAGAATACAATGAGGAGAATATTGCAGAGAATAATGAGATTATAGCGGAAACAGAGAAATTACTTAAAGATACAGAAGGATTATCATCAATACAAATGATACAACAATTGAGTAATTTTGATAAGAAATCTGAGTCTGAAACAGATGTTAAGGTTGGCAGTGTATCCAATGAAACATTCAATAAGTCGCCAAAAAAGGACACTTCAAGTTCTGACAGTGAGAGCAAAAATGTTTCTGACAAAGATGACAAAAAATCACGACTATCGTGTTTTGATTTTGATGAGGATGATTTGAGTGAACCTTCTATACCACCTGTACGAAAAATTCCCAGAGTATTTGGTGAGAAAAATTTATCTTTGAAAAAAGAAATTATCAAGGAATTTGCAATGAGTCAAGCTTTGAAAAATGAAATAAAGAAAGAAGCCGAAATATCTGAACTAGGTAGAAATATGGATTTAAAAGCTGATGAAATAATGGAAATAATACAAGGTAGTGACAATCAACAAGAGAAGAAAGAAATCAAAATGAATAAAAAGCTCGATGAGAATGTGTCACAAGATAAAATAGAAATAGAACAATCTGAAGATAAAGAGAAAAAGAAGATTATTCAATCAAAAAATGATCAACAGAAATCTAATATTAACACATCCGAGGCTGAAGTGGAAATTGTAGAAATAGTTGAAGAGAAAGAAAATGGTAATAATGAACATTCATCAAATATTACAAAGCATAATGAAAAGAAATCTAAGATTACCACACCAGACGTATCAACAAAAAGTGATGAAACATTGGAGAAGAAAAGCGAAACATTATCAGATATGAAACGTAACAATGATAAATTGCTTCAGTCCGAGAAAGCTGATTCGGAGGACGCGATCGCAGAATCTAATGATAACACGTCTATAAAAGAAGCGGACGATACTTTGTCGGAACGATTTACCACGGAAACGGAAGATGAAACCGTATCTGAATCTGCAGAGACTATGCCTGAACAAAGCGAAAATTCAGACACTGATTTATTGGATCGGGATCAAAGTATTGACGATAGTCTCTCAGGTATAGGCCAGACATTAATCAAAAGAGGAAGAGGGCGACCACGGAAAAATGCGAAAACGATTAATAAAAGTGCTAATATAGATAAAAGTCCGAAAATAAAAACCAATAGAGGTAGCAAGAGATTTCGCTTAAGCGAAAGAATTGAAATCGAACGAAAGACTTCGGATTCTGATACAGATCGATCGTACAGCGGTAGAAGACGCAAACCAAATAAGAAATACTTGGAATCCGATATATATGTTCAAGATTCTGATTACAAAGCATTCAAGACAGATGAGAGTCAATCTGAAAGTGAAACCAAGGTTTCTGAAAGAATTATAAGTAAATCCAGAAGAGGCAGACGTTCGAGAGGCGCTGACAAGAAGAGCAGCGGATTTGTCACTCAGAGGGATAAGGAAGAAATAGAAGTATCAGATCAAACACCAGGTGTTATTGAAAACAGCACCAGCATCTCATCAATCGATATGAAATACGAAATGTTTGATAATCGCGTCTCTAAAAAGGATACATTGTCCGAAGAAGGAAAATCTGAAGAAGCAAAATGCGATGTACTCGAAGAGCGAATAAAAGCTGCTTTGGATGAAGCAGCTGTCGCAAAAATTGATATGAATGTACCTTCGGAAGATGTAGAAATGGCTACAGTGTTGGAAACTACAAGTAAAATGGAGGAAATAAGACTTGATTTGAATAAATCTGTCAAGGAATTATCAGAAGAGAAAGAAAAGAAAAATTTATTAAAATCAAATAAAGATATTGAGAAAAATCTTAAGGATCAGAAGAAATCTTCGATTCTAGAGCAAACTGAAGATACCATCGATAAAGTTGAAACGCAGCAGGATGTTTCAAAAACAAGTGTGGATATGTTACCGCCAAAAAAGTCACAGATGAAAAAATTTGAGTCATCGCAAATAGATCTTTCTGATACAGATGTGCAGGCTAATAAAACTGTAGAAGCCGAACTTGAGTCTGGATGTAAGATTGAATTTGAATCTAAGATTGAAGTCGAACTTGATCGTCAGTTTGAATCTCAGAATGATGCTAAAGAAAAAATGAATGAAGAGGACGAAATAGTGATAAAAACGACAGTAAGTAAAATAACGGATGAAATCGTAAAAATTTTAGACACCAAAAAAGAGGAGCAGGAAAACCTGAAAAACTTTGAACTACAGGAAAAATTAAATAAATCAGATGAAAAAGAACAAGAAACGCAATCGATAGAGGAAGTACTGCAAAAATCACAAGATGTTAATCGGTTTGAATTACAATCGTTGGAAAAATTATCCACAGTTTCCAAACCAGATGATGCAGGAAATACATCAAACAGTTCAACCAAAATAATAACCGAACAACAATTAACTCCCAAGAAGTCTCCTATGGAAACGAGATATAAAGGTAAATTTACTCCAGAAACGGGTAAAGGAAAAAAAGACAAAGATTTGTTTTTGGAAGAAAGGCCAGCCAATACATTCCAGGAAGCTTTCCTGAAGACTTTACAGATGGATAAGAAGAAGATTATAATTGACGGTTCCGAGTCACCTAAGAGTAAGAAGGAGAAGAAGGTTACCAAGAAGAAAGTTGAAGAGGTTAAAGTAAATATTACTGCCATACCTGTACAAAGTACAAAAATCGAAGATTCGAATAAAGTTTTAGGAATTCCTGAAAATATTCCAATTGAAGGAAATGTATCAGATGTTTCGGTTGTGAGCAATTTTGAAAATATTGAGGTAGTTATCGAGGAGAAGATAAAGGTTGATAGCAAAATTAAAGACAGTAGTTTCGAAACTACTGATACTCGACTTAGATTATCGCCCAACGAATTTGTTATTACGTCTAAATCGTCCGTTTCTGAAAATAAAACTATCTCCGATATTAAAAAATTGGGTGAAATCTCGAAAACTTCTTCTGTATCTACATCTTCCCTATCGTCCGATATCAGCGTACCGGTAAAAAAACGCGAGATGCCGCGAATAATAGAAAATGTTACATTGACCGAACCAGTGCAAATTTTGAAACCAAACAAACTATCGCAGAAAGGTATAAAACATAAATTAGAAATGGACGTTATGAAGAAAAGCGATCAAAAGAGTGGACCTAAGGCAAAGATAATGAAGATAGAAACTCTACCTTCGAATAGTAAGTTAAAAACTATAAAGTCCAATCTGACCAATCCGCACATGTCTCTTACTAAGAAGCTACAAGTTTTAAAAACAGAAGAGACGGAAGCATTTCTAGAGGCGCAGAACAAGGAACAAAGCAACACGCCCACGCCGCAGACTATCGTAACTGTACCAGTGACAGAGAAATATATACAACAAAGCTCCCAAAGCCTGGCGGACATGGAGCTGGACATCAACTCGATGCCATTTGTTCTCAGCGAGGACGTACTAATGCCCGAGAACATTGAGCAGATGCCCGTTGTCATATCTTCTATCATACCATCTAGTTCAATTCCAGCCACGCTTTCCTTCACTCCGACCACGCAGATAATATCGCCTACTAAACAGACTCAATTTAAGATCACGAATGAGATCACCGCGGCTGAGACGTCGCCGACGAAGAAGAAGAGTGGCATGCCAGCGATATTAAAAAAAGAAAGTAAAGCGAAACCGACCATCACGAGCGTTAAAACATTGGTACCACCGCTTACCGGCGGTGTAAAGGGTTTGAAATTTCAGAGCGCCCAACCAACTGGTAAAACACCATCTCTCTTAACGCAAAAAGGCAAATATGTCGTTGTACAGACAGGAGGCACTCAACAACTACGTTATAGCGTTCAAGGTAAATCTGATACTCAACAGAAAATTACCATTCCAACTACCAGCAAGCCGGCGGGCAACGCGCAAGTGATTCAACAAGGTAACAAAGTCGTCATACTGACGTCAGGTCAGTCTAAAATGGTACCGTTGAATATTTCCAAGACTCTAAGCGGCAAAATGCAGAGAATCGTGACGAGTAAGGGCCAGTTATTATGTCCGATCAGTCCGCAAAGTATAATCACTTCGAAGATCATTGCGCCGAAGGCTGACACCGCTGCCTCTGCCGGCTCGTCCACCACATCCAAACTAGCTACCGGTAGTCATAAGATCATTAATACGCAAGGCATAATCACGTCTAAAGGTGTGCTCACTCCGATTTCAGGTACTATTGGTAAAACGGCGTTATTAGGCACATTACCCCAGGGAATTCTCACGAAGGGTGGTATTTATACTCCAATTAGTGCTTCGTCTTTGAGCGGAAAAACTATTATTAGCTCGAAGACTTTAATCACGAAAGGGGGCGCGACTCTCTTGTCTCCGCAAACTCAAAATCTAGGCGGCTCGAAAGCGATCTTGACACCGGTGTCTCAAACTCTCACCGGTAAGACCATATTAAACCCGCAGGCTATCGTCAGCAGTAAAGGTACTATCCTGACACCGATAACCGGGCAACAGGTGAAGGCTATCGCTGCCAAAAGCCCAGTCAAAGGCGGTAAAGTACAGTATCAGCCGGTGCAGCAGAAGGTACAGCTACCTATATTACAGAAGTCATCAAAAGTACCGATATCAGCTGCAGGCTCGCAGGCGAAATCATCTGGGAAATCACCAGGTAGCACATTGATTCTGCCGAATGCTACCGGCACAGGGACTCAGAAGAGCACGTCGCATAGTAAGAAAGGTATCAAGCAACAAGCGGTGGTGCAACCAGGCGCTACCACCATTAATATTGCTTCACCGAGCGGCGCGCAGCAGACGGTAACGATGGTTGCACAGCAAATGCAGCCGAGAGGCAAGACTGCAACCGTGCAAAAAGTTGTTATTCCTAAAACTGGTCGTCAGACGAAAACTCAGCAGAAATTTGTCGTCCAGAAAGTGCAGGAGCCAGCTGTATCGACGATGCAGAGTATCCACACGAAACAGACGATCACCACGACGACCTCGACCAATATACCGATCGCTACTAAGACGGTTGCACAATCGAAACAGACAACCCCTGTGACTCCTCTGAAGTCCTCCACGAAGTCTCATGTCTCAAGCAAGGCGCAGAAGAATATGCTGAATATCGCTATGAATTCGATAAGCACTGTCACGACAAATGCGAATATCGTTACGACTATGGCGTTACCTCCGCTGGAGCCGATCGACACGGAGAAGAAGGCGAAGACGGATCTTCAACTTGCGGATACCATTCAAAAGGAACAAAGTAAAATAGAGAAATTTCAAACTGAAAAAAGCAGCGGCGACGCCGAAAAAACAGAAGAACCGAAAGTGGTCGCGCAACCACAAATCATGGCCCTGCCAACAGAAAGCAGTGATGGCACACAAACATACGTGTTGGTTACGATTGACGAACAAGGACAAATACAGCCTCTTGATAATAATACTCTTATGTCATTGGAGGGAACTACGCAGAATCCTGATGGCACAAGAACCCTATATATAGATCCTAGTTCTCTGGGAGAAGCCGGAACCTTGGATAACATTGTTCTCCAATTCGATAATGGTGTCTTGCCTAACATGCAGACCAATGTGACGGAGGCTAGTCAAACGACAATTATAACTGAGAACTTCCCCACGTCGGAAATGATACAAACGTCCAATCAAGATATACTGGCAGCCGCTCTTGCTAATACAGATTTTCAGCAAGAGATTAACTTGCCAGAGAATCAAGCATCTGGCAGCGTCATGACCCAGACTGGTCTGACTCAGACGAGTCTTATTAATCAGACGATACTACAATCGACTATTATACCGCCTACGGAACCCATATCATCGCCGTCGGTACTGGAAACCTCGTTGACTTTGAATCAACCAATCATGACGCCGCTCGAAGTACCAAGCAATCTGCCAATTCAGTCGACGGACTCGACTCCTACGTCGGTGGTATCCACTATCCCGTCCTCTCTCGAACTACCGATCACCATTACGAATCCCAGCATTTCCTACATATCTGCTACAGGTGAACCGCAGATTCAGATCCCTGGTAACTCGATGCCGGATATTGGCGAGATTATTGAGGGCCCGGCGACGGCAGCGAGCAGCGGAGATATTGATCGCGCAAAGATTCCCGTGAGTACTCAATACTTGGTCATCCCAAATCTGGAGACTAACATCACGGCCGCAGAGACGCAAAACATACAGAGCGCCGAAATCGCGATCACGCCGTCGGTTTCGTACACGGTTACCATGCCGAGCAGTATAGTTTTAGAGAATCCACAGGTACAAACTACTCCGTCGATGCCGATCATCGATGATACGTACGCAGACAATTCGCAATTCGCCACGACGATCGTTGCCGAACAGACGTTTGTGGATGTGCCAGTCTCGGAGATGCTAGTCTCTAAGGCTCCAACAGTCCAACATATGCCGTTAGAGGACATCGAGGCGACATCGGAAATGATTATTTCCACGCATCAAATTCCGGCTTTTCCACAAAAACCAATTATATCAACCGACAAGTCTAAAAGTTTGGACAAGGAGCAGACCACGACGATGCAGGAAGTATATTCTTCTCAGGAAGTTCCTATCACAACCGAAGAGTTGATCTTACAGCAACCGGCTAAGGAAGTTAGCACCTCCAGCATGATGAAAGTTGACCGGGAAAAAAAAGGCGACAATAAGGAGAGCGATGCACCGATGACTAACTTACCGATAATAGACGAAATCACCTCGGTTACGTCTGAATCTAATTCTAAGATAGAGTCCATAGAACGGGTGAGTTTTGAAGTGACTGATTCGAGCGAGCTTAAAGCCGCTGAATCGCACGAAGCAGACGCGGTGGATAAACTAAAGCAGCTAACATTTTCCGAAGGATCTAGAAGTAAAACTAATTTGATAGATCAGCAGGTAGCCGGTACGTCAAACCAAGTGGAGACTCGAGCAGCTTCGCAAATTCTACCAGCTGAGTTGTTAAGTGCCACAAGCGACGCGACTATGGAGGTGGACGAAGCAGTAGAATCGGAGTTGTATGCTGGCAGCACAAGTGACAAGCGAGATGTGAAAGATAGTCAAAAAGATGAGCCGTCGTCGCAGGAAGAATCGGACAGGCGTCGTTTGCGCCAGAGCATGGAGCTGCATTTCGAGGAGGAGGAGGAAGTGGCGATCGCGGAAGCTAGTCAAGAGACGCCATCGCAATCTCAATACGAACAGTTCAATGTATCCATCAGCAGTGACTCCGCGGATCTACCTAGTCAGTCCGCCGGTAAGTTGGAAAGCTCGTTGGGCGAAGCCACGCAATCGATCGCGTACGAGTCGATGGAAACGGACGAGGAGACCATCGTAGCGGAACCACCGACTCAATCTTTCGAACATTCGAAGATCAACGAGGCATCTCAGTCGTACGAAGTTTCAGCGGAGGCCAACGTAAATACACCGACGCAATCCTTCAACGAGATACAGAACCAAGTGGAACGACCGAGCGCCGACGAAACGATCGATGATCAGAGCTTCCCCACGCAGAGTTACGAAATCGACAAGGGGGAAAATATGGCGGAGGACATGGAAACCGATGCTGAGATCAGTCAAGAGGGCAATATACCGTCGCAGTCTAACGATGTTGGTGCCGATGGTATTGGCACGTCGTCCGTGTCAACGAATAATTCCGGTTTGAACGAGGATGAGACGGCGAGCTCATCCTATGTGCCAGAGACACCCGAGAATCAAGAACGCGATCAGGACCAAGAAAGTGCGATAAGCACGTCGTCTTACGAGATTCCACCATGCGAAGAGCTCAACATCGCCTCATCTAGCGTGATACCGGACACATCGGTCAGCGCGGAGCACACCGGTATCCATGACAACGGTGTGCCGGAGATTCCGACCTCCTCGTCATATAATTTGAATCCCGATATCACATCGACTCACCACGTGGACTCCGTGCCCACTTCCAGCTACGAAGATCAGGTAATAGTCGAGCAGAACGTATCAACGTCATACGAGGTACCGATCTCGATGCCTGGCCTGGAGGAGACCTGCTCGCAGAATTTCGTCACGGAAAGTAGCGATCATCACCGAAACGAGCCGTCCAGCTATTACGCCCATCACCAAGAAGTGACGGCGAGTTACTACCAGTCCGTGGACCAGGATGCAAACTCCCGACTGGAGGAGGATCCACATGAGGAGCACGTCACACCTGGCGGCTACTACGAGGGCAATCCACAGGAGGTGAGTCAAAGCTATTTTGCACCGACCGAGGAGGAAACGCCCAATTACACCAGCCATAGTATCTCGTCCGGCTACTACGATCCCAGCAGACCCGAGAGCGAGGCGAGCCAGAGCTATTACTCCACGGACGATCTGGATGGTAAAACGGAGCAGTCGTCGTCCTCATCGCCAAACATCGAGGCATCGCAGAGTTTTTATCAGGAGAGATCGGGCGAGTTGAGACTGAGGCAGCAGGGTGAGGCTACGCCGACCTATTCCGAAGGATACCCGGTGGACTACACACTAGAAAACTCGCCGATCGAGAGGCACGATCTTGTGGAGAGCTCGGTACCAGCCACCAGGCCTATGGACAGGTAATATACTGCGGGGGACGGTAGTAATGACTAAGAGTCCCCGCGCTGACTCTGCAGCCTCTGCAGCCCCGTCAACATACAGACTTTTTAGTCTTTTTTCAAATGTAAATACAATGTTAAGATAAAGTTATAATGTGTTAAATAAGCGCTGAAAATCTTAAGATAAAAAAAAACTTAGTGTTAGGTTTTATCGTTAAGCCCCTTCGTACAAACAAATGCGCGCATGCGTTTATGCATGTTAAAATGAAAAATAAAAAAAGCCGCGAATATGTGTAATTCGTTTTTAGAATCCGGTACGGAGGCATTATATATATATATGATTTCTCATGTTGCATTATATCGTTATAATCTTGATTTTACCGTCATCGACGTTTGATGAAGAAAAAGGAAATGTATATAATCACATATATAAAAATTAAATCAACTATTTATACAGGATGTGTTTTCCGTGTTTTCGAACAATGGATAGAAAATACCTAGCTTAACATGTTTCAAGTAGGAATATTTCAGACTGGATCTTTTTTATATCATTATCCGAGAAAGTAACAGAGAGAAACACACACCTGTATATAAAAAATATATTATTATTCTTTCTTTAGAATATTATAAAGATTTGTCAGAGATGGGCGATTTTCGATTTCTCCGTCAATATTTCTGTATGTTTACGATATAGCAATAGTGAGAATCGCGATAGTGATCGCGATTTTCTTATAACAAGGATTTTTTTATAACAAAATGTTGAAAATAATAAGAAATGAAATATTCTCAAAACCAAAAAAGAAGAAGAATCGTAATCAGCATCCCAAGATTTCACTGCTACTCCGTAATGTCCAGTCATAGTGTAAACAAGTTCGTTTATAATATACTTCTAAGAAATAAGCGAGAGAGAGAGAGAGAGAGAGAAGAGCTCATGTAATAATTATATAAAAAGGAAAGAATCGTAGTAAATCTAATGGTGCTTCTGGCAATACATCTGACTTTAATCCTTAACATTATCGAAATTGGCATATTCTCGCTTGTTTTGTATCCTTTTACCCTGTACTCTGTCTGAGTGCTGCCCAGTTTATTACATTGATGCAAAAAAGCACAATATGTCTCGTCATATATCCACTACAATGTATACTTTGCAATTTGGCGGAGACGCGATATAAATGAGAACTTTCTCATTTGAAGACTTAACTTTTTCGCGGATAAGTTATGCCACGCCTCGCTTTGCTCAATTGTATATGTGAACAATGTAATAATTTTTAAATTGTGTGCGACATAAAATATGCAAGGCTTTGAGCGAAACGAGGTTCGTTCTCTATTATGCTTATGTTTTAGTTTGTAGGATAAAAAGTTTATAGACAACATATATATGGAAAATAAAAATGTTTATTATTTCATCTAATAAGATGTGTATCTTATGTGTTAATGAAACGATTGATGTGTAAAGGGAACGCGTGTAGAGATTTTATTACAGAAAATCTGTCGTGTTTGAGATGCCTAAATTAGCTTGGAATCTATCGTCTAATACTTAAATAAACCAATTTATTTCAGCAGAAATGGAATAGATGTTTAACAATAAGTAGCGAAATGTGAAGAAGTTTTAATTATGTAGAGAGTAGATATAATCTTGAAGTTTTTTATTGCGCAATCCTCAAACAAGACAGATTTATTAAAATATCATAAGAATATTAAACTATATTCTTTATATATAACTTCGTGTTATTTCAAGAATAAATCTGTTTTTATTTCTCGTGGCGTTTTTTTTTTTAATTATGGTCACATATGTACATATTACACGTCGATATCGAAAGGTAAAATAGATTTTTGTGTATTATTGTATTACACTAAATAACATAGATAAACTCGATATAATATCATAGAAAATAACAAGAACCTGAGAAATCTGCAAAGATGGACTGAATTGTTAATGTTCTGTAATTTATATATATATATATATATATATATATATATATATATTTTATATATATATATATCAAAGTTATATTAAAATTCGCATATACCTACAGATAGCATATAGTATTGTAAGATGGGGAAATATGTATATGTAACTACATTTTCTATTAAAGAAAAAAAATTTTCTGATACAGATGAGATATGTATGTATGCTATATATACATTGCTATGTTTTGACTTCATTAAATTCATAAATGACAAAGTGATACTGAAGAATGAAAATACAGAGAGAGTACTCTGCGTTTCACATATATAACAATCTAATATTTTCAACACTAACAATATGAATCTATTTACATTTATATTTCTATTGTGTGCACCACATACACGATTGTAATTAAGAATAAAATAAATATACGAATATTTACATAACAGATTACATGTACAATGAATATATATTATTTCTGTGCAATTAATATCCTATTTTACCAACTGAATCATATTTAATAGAATAAAAAAATAATAGTTATAATTAGACACGCTTTTATTAAAATTTTCATAAAATAAGGTATAAAATATACTATAATAATTTGTAAATTATTTGCCTAAAGTTTAATAATTATTTTTTGCACATATCTAGAATATAATAATTATATACATTAAAGAATCGTTCTCTATCTCTCTCTCTCATTAATATATCGTCATCAAACTCGGCTGAAATAGTATCAGGCAATAAAAGTAATAATTCTTATAAAATATATTTATTGCCTAAAATGCTCCCAAAATACAATAAATTATATTAACATGTTATATAAACATGCCGTGGTAGTTTTATATACAATATAAAATAATAATTCTAGCGCTTCTCTATGGAAAGGAACACAGTTTTCATGATTTCGCTGTACATTGGTATATGTTTCATCTTATTACTTTCTCCAATATTGTGCAAATTTATGGAGTTGCTCCACTAGCACGGCCATCACGGCGGTGACAGACAAATCCAGAAGATTATGCACGTAATGTACAGCCTCTTCATCGGTCAAATCCAATCGTAATTTGTCCTGGACTTTTTTCACGGCTTTGTCCGGTTCCAGAGCGATATCAGGAACACTGGCATCCACCATTAGCGAGAATAGATTCAATATCAAATTAGCGTGCCTACGTAAATGAAGGAACGCTGTGTAACATTGTTTCCGAAATTCGTGATAATGTTCGGAACCGACGCCGCCCATAGCTTCGACCATCTCCTTGCTGAGTTTCATCGGAGGAGGTAAAGGTTTCGGATCTCTACCCAAAATATAGCCGAAATCAATGTGAAAGAGCGTGCCTGTGAAAATAGATATTACAAATCATTTGGTTCATTTGGTTCATTCGGTTTGTACAGTCTTTTATTTAAAGAATATACCTGATGCTGTGAGAAGTAAATTATCCAAGTGACGATCGCCGACGCCTAGTACGTATGTAATTATGCAATAGCCAGCTGAAATTTTGAAATAATAATTAAATAACAATAATTATTCATTTTATTTTATAGAGTTATATTAGTCGTATTCACCGCAACTGCGAACATAAGTGTCCATAACTTCAGGTACTACTCCATAAGGTCCAGTTTCGGAAGGATGATGTTTTCGAAAGAAATTCAATATTGATCCCTCATTAGCTAAAACCTCTGCAACTGTTGTGGATTCGATAAATTGTACAAAACCATGTTTAGTACTTGTTGCGAGTACCCTGAAATAACGATTAAAAATCATAAAACGATAGTTTTATGTAACATAATTTATATTATATAATCTTTATGTAAAAAGATTTTACCTATATGGAGTCAACTTTAAATCTAAATTCTCTCTTCTTAATAATTTATCCATAAGTGCTATTGTTTGTAAAATTAATTGATCTTGTCGTAAATCGTCTCCGTGTTTAAAAATAGCTATATATTCGGTATTATCTGTTGTCAAAAATGTAAGTTTTGATGGCATGAGTGCAGACTTAAAGAGACTTGCCCTAAATAAAATTAATAAAGTAAATTCGAGTATAATATATAAATTAACATTAATACATCGAATAATTTGAATATGTACTTTTCTGGAATAATTCCTTTAATACAAATCTCGGGATCTAATGGAAAAGGTATTGGCTCAAAATTTGAAAAATTAATCTTGAATGCTGGATCTGGATCCGTTAGTAATGCCCTCAATCTATCAGTCTTTTTCTTACGATTTCCGCTTTCTCGCGCAACGGCTTTTACCAGAGATACCAGTTGATCGATGAACACCTTTTGTCGTAAAAGAAACGCTCTTCTCTTTTGCCAAACGGTATTCCCCTGCGCTAATGTCATGGAAAACATTTTCATTACAGTGACGTACATTTCTCTGACTCGCGTATCTTGTTTGGCGCTTATCGCAGGATCAATTTGATCCTCACACTCAATAGAAAGATACCAATAAAAATAATTAGCTAGCATCGAGTTCTGACAAGCACGTGTAATTAAAAACGATGCTAGATCCATAAGCGGTTCTTGACTCGTCGATAATTGACTCTCCGATTCACTAGACTGTAAATAAGTATAATTATGTAAGATATAATATAAAATTAATAGAAAAATGTTATGTTTGACTCACAGTTGTAACTGGAGTAGATGTAGAATCACTATTTCTTATGTCTTTATCTAATTTGTCAGTTTTTTCCATTTTCTCCAATCTTTCGCTTTTTTCCAATTTTTCGGTATTCCAACTTTTTGACTCCAATCTCTCTTCCTTCTCCTTCAACATTGCTTGATAAGCAGCCTTAATACTTTCAAAGTCTTCATATTTCAATGCTTGCACCAATTGCAGCAAGTACAACATTAAATCATCATCTGGCGCTTGATTTAGTCTGCTAATCGCGTATCTCCTAATGGCCGGATGAGTGAAAGCGGGTCCTAATAACTCCAAAGCATCCTCAGAATCTGGTGGTGCCCATAAAGCTAACATCTCCAAGGCTTGACGTTCTTCACCAGCGACTTTCCAATTAACGCATTTTACGAACTTGGTCAACGCTTTCTTCTGGCTAGACAAGTAAAATCTGTACTTCCAAATCAAATCCTGTTCCTCGGTAGAAAGTGCAGTTGTCGATGGATATCCCAATATCGTATTTAAGGCATCACGCACAGTCGAAGTGGGTTTTAATTCACGAGTGTTACCGCCACTACGTAAACTACGGGCTAATTTATGGTGTTTTGCCTCTACAAGATTTTCCTGGAAGAAAAATTAAGCTTCATTTTTCTTTTCTATTATTTTAATATAGTTTGGAGCATATATTGTATATGCCTCATATACATTACTTTATATATTTTCTTTTGTAAAAACCTTACTTGTAAAATCTCATAATCAGGAAGTGTTACAACGTCTGGTTGTAATCTATGTTGAAAAACTTCGTCACCATCTTTTTCATAATACACAATTGAATACTATAAAAAAAAGAAAATAATTATATGTATATTATTTTTTTATATATAAAAAGTACTTTAAATTAATTGTGCTATATACCGGTACACCATCCATTGTGACTTCTGGAAATTCTATCATCAAATACAAGTACTCTGATGCTCTTTTCTCCCTCTCATTGATTAATTCGATCTCTCTGAAAGTTAATCTGTCCAGCCAATCAATCTTGTTTATTTGCCCATTTCTGTGTTTCTTAACAAGTTTTGCGAGTCTTTGCATTTGTTCTTTCCCATGATCTCTAGCTTTCCCTGGTGTACTGGTTGAAACACTACCATCGGCTTCTACCCCGGGCCATACTCTAAGATCCAACATGCCCTGTCGGTATACTCCATGCTTGCCAAACAGCGATATCGTTGTGCCACCCACTGGAAGCTGTCTGCCAGGTCCTGCGC